AGGGCATGGAAGAGGCAGGAAGAGGGCATGGAAGAGGCAGGAAGAGGGCATGGAAGAGGCAGGAAGAGGGCATGGAGGAAGAGGCAGGAAGAGGGCATGGAGGAAGAGGCAGGAAGAGGGCATGGAGGAAGAGGCAGGAAGAGGGCATGGAGGAAGAGGCAGGAAGAGGGCATGGAGGAAGAGGCAGGAAGAGGGCATGGAAGAGAGAGAGAGAGAGTAAGAGAGGAGCTGGTATCGAGAGGGCAACTTAAAGGGCAGATGAGGTTGAGCGACGGAGGGAGAGTGAGGGAAGAGTGGGGAGAGGGGGAAGAGAGGGAAGAGAGGGGAGTGAGGGAAGAGGGCTGCGAGCTTAGCATAACAAACACGTTTTGAAAAACGATGGAAGAATTATGGAAGCTTTGAAAAATGAAACACAATCATGAATTTTCATAATTGTGACGAAGATTAAACAAACACAAGGAGAAATGTCCGGCTGTAATAGAATGATAGCATTGGTAATGTGAATATTAAACAGCTGAACTGGAAAAGTGCGAACATGTGGCACTGGAGGAAGCAAAGAGACATATTTGAACACGTAGGTTCTGAGAAGAAGAAATGAAATTTTTCCATTAATGGGAATAATATGCTTCGTATTTACACACAATAACTGTGCTTCAGCTAATTAAATATCAACTTCACGTGAGAACAAAGAGACCTGAACTTCTGATTTATTTTATAATTAATCGTAAAATTTACCATCATAGCCGAACATGTGATAATCGAGAAAACTGAGATAACCGTAGGATTTAAGATCGATATAGAACCCTACCGTACCACCCAACCAAGACAGCCGACCATAACAAGCTAGCCATAAAAACACGGCCATAATAACCCAACCATAACAAACCAGCCATGATAACCCAACCATAAGAACCTGAGCACAGCCGACTGTCACAACCTGTTCTCAAATTATACCATGAAACGAGTCTCCGATTTAAATTATGATCCTTTATATTCATGATGTTTCAATTCTTGGCGCATCAGAATTCGATGTAGGAAAGCTAAACTCTTCGATTATTTGTGTTAACGAGCAAGTCATTGTCGAGTTTAAGATTGAGACTCTCTTAATAAGGATCCATGATTAACGTTGGTCGATGCAAGAGCTGTAAGAAAATTTAATAAAAAAAATGAAAAACAAAAAGTTCAATTATTTAACAAGTACCAATTGAAAGAGAAGGGCAGACGCTGAGTTCCTTAAAGCGTGGATATGTGATGAGCACTTCAATAATTTAAATTATGCTGAAAATGAAATGATATTCATGATACTAATCGATGAAAGGCGCGTGGTATGAAGCGATGATAAAATTTTATTGCTTTCGTTGAAGTAGTTTAGATTCAAGTTTAGTTTAGATTTATTTAGAGGTTGGAAGTAAACAACTGGTTGGAAGTAAACAACATGACCTCAACTGATTGTTGAGGTCATGACGTTGAAAATAAACTCAAAATAATATATGTCTTAACAGTTGAATACGCCGCCTTCTCAGCTATGTAGTCCGTCTATAACGTCCACAACATGCAAATAACATAATAAATGTACAACATTTTATGCAACATGACAAGTACATACCGTCCTTGGAGCCCATGTAGTCAGCGGCAGGCATGAACATGAACTCGCTGGCGTCAGGCCCGCGCTGCTGCCTCAGCGATGTTCCGCTGACCACCTCAAAGCCAGCCAGGTTCCTAATAGGATCAGCAGGATCCCACACCCACTTGCAGCCCTCGTCATCCTCGTCGAACTGGCAGTGCTGCCCTATGGGGAAATGATACTCAATAGGAGGCGTAGGCGTCGTGTCCATGACAGCGTGGACGGCGGCCACCTTGCCACCTATCCTAGAGTCGCCAGTCTTGCCAAGGTTCAACTCCCTCTGGGCCTTCTCAGCCGCGACGTCGTAGGGCGTGTGGTTCACGTAGTTATGTTTGCCGTAGGGGTTGTTGCGTGACTCACCAGTTCTAGAACCATAATAATGGTGCCCAGGGTTGTGAGTTTTTCTATTATTGTAATTATTTCTATTCACATTAAACTTATTTTGATTGTTCAAAGTTACATAGTCCCCCTCGCTTGGGATACGTGGATCTGCAACCGGAGGTGCAACGGCAGGTTTACCGTACTCATGTTCTTTGTCGTGTTCTTCGTATTCCTCCCCAGGAGGGCGGTTGTCTTCTTTGTAAGGTGGACCATTGGGGAATTGAGCTCCATTAGCGTGTTGGGGACGAGCACCACTGGGAGCCCCAACATTTGGGTACTCTTCCCCTATGTGCTCGTTATTATGCGTATTTTCATTACCGCCGTTTCGATAATCGACACTGAGTGCGTAATTAACGTTGTATCCGCTGTCGTGTCCAGCACTTGAAGCGCATGGTAGAGTTAGCACCATAAACGAGACCAACATCAACAACCATAAGTAGTGGTTCAGCCAAGTGTACGAACAACCACTACCTAAAGAGGGGTCATCGATCCATCGGACTTCCTTCAAATGGTATACCCTGGAATCTAGAAACTTGATGTGTCGTTTCGGTGAAGGGGATTTGTGGGGTTCTATTCTTGGGGGTCCATCGCTGGGCATCCCCACACCAGATGGGGGAAGCCAGTGGGTTCCCATCTCCCGAAGCTCCCTCGCTGTCCCCTCCTGTTGGGGATGGGCTCTTGCTCTGCATGACACCCCCACTGATCGGAGTCTCCTGGTGAAGACGTCACTCATAATTCGTCAGAAAAACGTTCACATTGTCAGCAAGTGAGCGACGCGTGACGATACAGGGACGAAGCCTGCCTCATGATTCATTACGACGCCAAATTCAACGGTTATATCCACGTGAATAAGGACCGTGGCGAATAAAATACTCGGTGAATCCTGTACACGCTTGTGCCCAGCATTTAAGATCCTGTTATTTTGCCGTACATTTGTTTATTGCAATATAAATAGTCTATCTCTGACAGGCAATTCCAAGATCATATCATACGTAACTTAAATTTAATAATATTCTTTGACACAAACATTTGGCATTTGGGCATTGATTCCAACTTGAGCTTTCCCTTCACCAGCAACCGCGAAGCTTCACTCGAGAGTACAAGGAAGCAATTTTTTGGCACCGACAGTGGCTTGGAAATGCTTTAGTCATCCAATTCTTATAAAAATATATATTTTCTACACAAGATTTAACCTAAAACTTCTAGCATATGTTGTTTTCTGGTTCTTCAGGAGTCACTGAGGAAACAAAATTGTACTTTTAATCATAAAGCAGCATTAGTAACAAATTACCGCCGCCAGAGCCATTTAAAAATCAAATAAAATGGAATTTGAATACATTCTAAATTCTCAGAGTAAATACAGCAAGATCTAACTTTGATATTGATAGGAATGAAAAAATTATAAATTGAAAATTTAACCTAATTCATTATTACATTCTAAATGATTAAATTTCACTTAAATTATCAAATAATTGTCCTTCAATTTTCATCAACTTGTAACCAATATATGATGTAATTGCACCAGCATCATCACTATAGATTGCAACTAAACCGCATTATATTGCAGCCGGATTATCTAAGGGGCGCATCTGAATCATTAAATTGAATAGAAACTTGAACTAAATTTCTATTGAAGTTCAAAAATTCCACGGAATACACGAATGTTTCCATTAATGATAATCATGACTAAAAACCAATCATTTCACACATAGCACTCAGTTGACCGATATCAATCAGTTCACTCAAAACAATAATTTCCAATAGCAATCAGTTAATCAAAACAATCCGTTATGTCATAGCAATCAGTTCACTTATAGAAATTCACTCAAAGCAATCAGTTCACTCAAAAAAAAATAATTTTCCATAGCAATCAGTTAATCAAAACAATCAGTTATGTCATAGCAATCATAACAGCACTTATAGCTATCAGTTCACTTATAACAATCAGTTCACTCAAAACAATCATTTTCCATAGCAATCAGTTCACTCATAGCAATCAGTTCACTCATAGCAATTAGTTCACTCGTAGCAATCAGTTCACTCAAAACAATCAGTTCACTCATGTCAATCAGTTCACTCATAGCAATTAGTTCACTCATAGCAATCAGTTCACTCGTAGCAATCAGTTCACTCACAGCAATCAGTTCACTCATAGCAATCAGTTCACTCGTAGCAATCAGTTCACTCACAGCAATCAGTTCACTCACAGCAATCAGTTCACTCACAGCAATC